ATTAGGAGGAAAAAATACATGGATATTTCCACAATGAGGTGTCTTTGAAATTACCCTGAAGTATATAGGTATAAAAGAGTATGAGATGACATGTACAAAGCACAAGAACTCTGCTAGGAAGCCACCTGTCTACACAGGCAACAGACAGCAGGAAAGATGAGGGCGAGTTCTTAACCAAGCTGATTTACTAGCAGAAAGGGCTCAGTGTGCCAATTGCTGTTGTCGTTATAAACTTTGAAAAGCTCTGTTTATAGGATGTGAATAGTAGGAAAGTGAAGCATAATGCTGAATTTTTTATTAAATGTATAACTTTCAAGAGCTGCGATAATTATCATTTTATTCTCATTGCATCAGTTACAAACAATAAGACAGAAGGCACTGCTGTGCGCACACAGTGCATGATTTCAAGTACATTTCCAAAGTTAGTGATTGTTAGAATTATATACAACAGAAGCATCTTAATGCAGTTTTCACTTGTTTCACATTTGGCTATTATGTTGCTGACAACCATTTGTTCTACTCTGTATAGAAAGCAGATTTACAACGTGCCAAAACCGTATGTATTACAGATTTTATTACTGATTACAGATTATTACTGATTTGTTTAAAAGCAAAGCCTGTTTCTAGTTTCAGAGGCAGAACTTCATTGTATTATTTTTCCTTATACCTAATTATCCTTTATTTCAGAGTAGTAAGGATATGAGAAGTTCACACTTCACATTCTTAATCTAGCTAACATCTGATAAAAGGTAAAAGATGTCATCTCACCTTCATCTGAACATCCCCTCTGGAAGGCATCTAAGGCCTGAAAAATATTTAAGGACTTCAGAACATGATATTTCTGCATAAGCGAGTATTAAGTAAATTGTTCCTATTCACTCATTTTTCTCTTTTCTTTTGGTCTTGCTGTTTCCCTTGGTGTGAATCCCTGGGAGTGACTAATTCATAGCCGCGCTCTGCTTTGGGTGGGTTTAGCAGTTAAAGTTGAACAAAGGAGCAGGAAGAGTGTAACAAGTCAGGCAGTGAAAAAGTCAATCACCTAGCAAGAGTTCTTGTGCCTCTGTCACATCTTTAAAGAGGTCGTTGTATCAGTATTAATTGTGTTGCACACTTTCTGCGTATTTTTTATAGTTACCAAGCCTTGCTTGTTTAGTACAGCAGAGCTAGGATCGGAGCTGCTGTGTTGCTGCCTTTGGGTTCTTTGTGAATTATTACAAATGAGGGCTGCAGAAAAGGTATTCCCTGCCAATCCAATTGCAATAGTTGGGCTACATGGGAGAAAAGCCCAAAGCATCATTTGTCAGTTGGTGGTGCCCCAGTGAACAGCAGAGATGGAGGTAGTGATGTGCCCCCAACAAACATTTACAGGCTGTTCCACCAGGATAAAAATGTCTCTCTGAGAGCCTTGAGAGTTTCTTTCTTCTGAATGATGGACTTTGGCTCATGTGAGAAAAGCAAAGCCAATTGATTTAATAGCAATTAACTCATCCAATATTGGAGAGTCATATACAGTTTGGTGTAATTCGTTGGAAATTGTTCTGGCAGTGCTTGCAGGCCATTAGAGATTTCAAGGAGGAGATGGAAACAGGTAGAGACGCTGCACAGACACAGTCAGGATGCACTGTGGAGTCTGTCAGTAATGCTGCCGCGTGCCAGGAGGCAGCAGTCCTCTTCTGTCTTCCTCGAGAGCCTTAATAAGGACGTTGCTGGGGGAACAGGTCAGGTCTCCGTCTGCTGGATCAGTTATCTGCCTGCCAGATAATTGTATTTCCTATTGCACTTGGTGTAATGGGTTTCTGCCTAAATTTGTTCGTTTTGTTTTGTTTTGATGTGGGTTACAGGAATTAATCTCAACTTTCAGCCATATCACTCCATCTTGGCTAAAAACACAAGCAAGCCAGAAGGAAGCTTGTGGCAATACAGCCCAGGAAATACCACAAGCTTATGGCCCCCTCACTGCTTCCCTGGCCTTCCCTAGAGACGCAGGTCCTGCCTAGCCACCTCCTGTCAGCTTTTAGTCAGTGCCTGCCCCAGCACCACTCCAAGCAGAGCAATTATTTCTAAGCGAGCTGGTCCAGCCCATGCCACATTCACTTCCATGCTGGTGTCTGCTCTCAGAGCAGCTGTGGTGGTTTCCCCTTGTTGTTACACAGGCTGCTGGCTACTTCAGTGCCCACAGATGGGGTGGGTAGCTTGGATTTATAGTTACAGTGCTTCGTTTTGAATTTAAGTATTCATTTAAACTGACATCTTTTCTGTGGAAGTCAGCCTGGCCTGCCTTTTGTTGCACTGCATCCTGATAGCATCAGCATGGATTTTAATATTGCATCATTGTCAAGGCAGCATAACTCCTTGGTGTGGTTATGCGGCCATCATCTGAAACAGCCATAAACCAATACACGTTGATTATCCAAGAAGAAATCAGAATCAAGATGTGTACTTAGCATAGTCTGTTGCTTTCTTTTAAGTGAAGATTCATTAAGAAGATTCTTTTAGCAGAGTTTTCACCATTTCTGAATTAGAAGATGGAGAAGGAAGAAGAAAAAAAAAGTGAAAGAAAAACAATTTTCTTATCATTTTCTTTTGTAATTGGATGACTTGCTTCAGTGCCGTGTGACTTTATTTAATTAATGGTCTCCAACTTTGCTGTGCTGTTTGCTAACGATAGTCCTCGTGCTGGCCTTGTGTCTGTTGGTGTCTTTGCATAAATGTGGAGGGAATATTTCCAGTGTGATGATCTCTCATTGATGCAGAAATATAATCACATTCCACATCTTTAGAGCAGTAGCTCCAGGCTGTTTGCAGCATGCTCTGCTGAGCTGTATCTCCTCACCAGCTCTCTGGTCGGAACTGTTTGGATTTTTTGCCTGCTCAAAGGTGTTATGTCCAGATGGGCTGGCCTCTGCTCTTTGGGCTGATATGGACAATAACAGCAGCGCACCAAGTCCCTTTGGATGATTTTACAAGTTGTATTTTGTTTCCTTTACTCTTAAATGTTCCCTTTTAAGAAATGAAATATTTAAATTGTTTTGCTGGAAAAAATGAGAACACAATTTTACAGCTTTAAACTCCTATAGCACTATTTCTAAAATATTTCTGGGAAAATAAATGTTCAAGTATAATTGTTCATCCGTCCATCTCAGGTGCTCCCTATCATCAGCTCTACCAGATCCAGTTATAGTAACTCACACTAAAAATCTCTGGAAGCCAAAATCTTGTAACTAGTTACATTGGAGAAAGTAATTCCTCTGCTAAGAGCAAGTACAACATTTGTTCCTAACAGCAGTTTCTCCTGTTGCTGAAAACAGTGGAATTTTCTGGTGGTTCAATTGGAATTATTGCCAAGCACATGTACTAAGTCAGTAAATCTGTGTGCTTGGAAATGCATTTTACCTGGAGCTTAAATCTTGAGCAAACAGCTGACAATAACTCTAGTAATAACATTTTAAAGGTTATGCGCTGAAAAACTAGGGGATGTGCACCATTGGTGCTAAAAAACACATAACCTGGATGTAGTTAGTATTTATAATAAAATGTATATTGGATACTGAGTGCTTGTAGCATTTTAATCTACTCAACAACATGTTGGACAAAATATGGCTTTACAGAGCATTGATCATTGAAACTATTTGCCATAATCTTTCTGCAACATATATCCTAAGAGTCACTGCATAGAATCTGGATGAATGTGTAGCTCTGGAGAAATGACTTCCAGATTACTAATTAGTGAGTTCTGTAGATTAGAGGTGTACCAGGATATGAGATATATTGCATAACTGCAAAGAACTGCCTCAGCACTATGACTACTGCACAGTCTTCCGTGATTACAGGTTCCTTTTTTCTCTTTTACCAAGTTTTTGAGGTAGGCAGGGTGATGCCATGCGTTCAGTCTCAACAAGCCTCCTCTGGAGTCTACATCCTTTGTCAAGGACCCAATACAGTGCCGCAGCAGTGGCTGTGCTGTTTGCTCCTCCTCGTGGAGCCCTCAGGTGCACAGGAGATGGTAGATGTGATCTCCAAGACTGCAGCTTTGGGGAATTATTGGGAAAATTTCAAGAGCCTGATCCAAATTCCTTAAGTGTGAGAGTCTGTTTTTTCTCTTAAAGTACTTTTTCATTGTTTTCAGTGGACTGTGAATAAGATTTATACTGCCTGTTATGTTAGATGATATGTTGGTCCAATGACTGACAAGACTGCAGATATTTCTTTTCTTTTTCTAAGCCATTGGCTGAGGCATTCACATAAATCATGGATTCTATTGAAACTGCAATTAAAACAAATCAGGCTTAATGCATACTGAAAGCCTTAGTAATTACGATACAGGTGAATGTGGAGGAAGTGGCACCAGCTTAGTCATCCTTCCAGGCAAAACTGAAGGAAAGAACTGTGTGTATAATCGAACAGCATCTGAATATTAATGCACAAAATCCTCTGAGTCCCTCATTCCCTGATGCAATTATTTTCTATTCACATTAATTGTTCCTAACAGATGACATTAATGACTTTGAGTTAAAATGTGTGCAAGGGAAGCCTTCAGCAGATCAATGCTGTTTAAAAATAGGGTCACTTTTGCAATCATTCACTCACGGTGTAGCAGCTTGTAAATAAAACAACGTTAACATGTTGATTGATTTATAAATGTTAATTTCGTAGTTCATTTTTATGCTTTTTCCCTGAAACTTGTCAAATTCTATGGAGAGTGGTGGGACTCCTGTTCATTTGTCATCGTTGCATATTAAGTAGTAGTAAATTACAAAGCAGAGATTAGGAGAAAAAGTACAGTTTGTTTTAGATGAAGAACGACCTGTTCTTCACACAGGAAATCCTGGACAAAACATGCATAACCAGCAGCATTTTGAATTAGAACAAATCTTCTTTTACCTCGGGGTCTTTATTTCCCTTGAAATTTAACCGCAGACTTTGGAATTTTAACAATGCTGATCTGCTGCATACTTGACGTATGCTTATGCTTTGCTTATTCCCTTCTACCCCCCCTGCAGAAACTCCATTCGCGCATCCTAGACCTCTCATCTGGAGATTTGCTGTCAGAAGTAGAACGGAACAGAAGCTCGGTGCAGTTGCGACCTGCTGATGCTCAGATTCACGTGAGTTTCTGTGCTGTCCTTGTATCCCACATTTGGACCCCTCCTTTTCTCCTTAGAAGTCTGATGTCAGGGATGAAGCATAAAGCTGATCTCTGAATTGAAACACTGTTGAGGCAGATAACAATAGTTCTTCTTCCTTCTGTTCTCAGAAATTCAATATTGTATCCTCAGTTGATACAGTAAGCAGATAGTGTCACTCTGTGCAAAAAAGCATAAATCTTAGTAATGTCCCCAAGATACCTTTCTGGGTATTGATTACATCTCAGAATCTGTGAGAAATGGTCAAGGAGATTTTTATTAAAGCCCATGCACCATATTATTCATCCACTTTTATGATATATTATGTATGAACTTTTAAAAATTCATGGGCTCTGCATTTTTTTTTTTCTGATGGGTTTAGCTTTGTGCTTATTTGGCAAAATGTTAGCCAGTGTGGCTTTCATGTTTCATTGTCAAAGAGAAAAGTAGCTTAGAAAACAAAAGCACATGAAGATAGAGAGGAATAAAGAGAACAAGAACAGAACGTTGAACCTGTGCGTGCCTTTGATCTTGAAGTATAGTAATGTCAACAAAAATGTGATCTCCTTTGTAGTGCTTATTGTAATGAAAAGGCATTGTTTCAAAGGTTCACAAAAATGCTAACAACCCTTTGCATAACATGTAATTAAGCCTTCAGGTTAGGATTTTCTAAATAAGTAGTTTTGTCTCTTTTGTAGTCTGATTCTTTCAGTTTTCTGTGATGCCTGGCAAAAAATTATGTATTTAAATTGTAATATTATATTCAGGACTTTGTACTCTCATTTTGTTAAAGGTAATGATTTTAAAGTCATAATTTAAAAAATTAAAATTTCACCATGTCATTTAACAAACCCATGTTCAAGTTAAATGTATTTAATTAATGCATCATAAACATACAATTTAAAGTACTTTCTGAGAGAGTTTAGAGAATGCAGGCAAATTGCCAGAGAAAATTTCAGTCCTTTTATGGTAGTCTCAAGGTAATCCAGAAGTGAGCTGGATATTCTGCTTCAAAATCTCTAACGCTGTGATGTTTTTGCACATTGTCTCATCTCTTCAACAATAAAGATGATTTCAGAGACAAACTCTTCTTTTGCTTTGCTTAGATATGTTTTTCACGCTTTTAAAACTACAGGAGCAAATACCTTTCTCATCTTTTGGTTCAAGGGAAACAAAGTAAAGTGATGGCCAGGCCTGCAGACTAACTGAAGGTAACAGGAAAGGAAGGCAAACTCCTCAGTATGCTGAGGTCTCCGCCTTTCTCTTACAGAGTATTCTTATAGGGAAGGATTTTACAGACATCCTTCTCTTCAGTTGACTGGGATGTGGCATAGTATAAAGGGCAGTATTTGACGTGGTGGGTTTTTCCATTGCCACATCCGAAACAGCTAGGACAAGCATGTATTGCCATTGGCCTCTATACAGTCAGCCCTGCTGGACATGACACCATCATAGGTGTGATAGATGTAACAGCTGATAAGGGGTCTCCCATGGGAATCACAATGGCAGAAATAACTTGTCTCCACAAAGCAAGAAAATCTGTTTCAAAGCTAAAAACAAAGGCATCATCCTGCCTCTGATGCTGAAGCATGTGCTCTTCCCAGAGCCAACAGATTTAAAGGCTGTTCCTCCAGCATCCATTTGACTTCTTAGGAGGACATGTACCAATAACTCCCAGAGGTGAAATGTGCTCTTGCTACCTCTAAATGATTTTCCCATTCATAGGTTTTGCCTGTGACAGAGAGTAATGACTTGCCCTGTAGTTATGTTTGTCAAAACCAGAACATTATTATGTCAGCTGAGCAATGAATAGCTGTACTGATGAACTCCTTAGCAGTAAAAATTCTGCTCTCACCCATTTAACTCCAAAAAGGTTCAACCCTAGTAATAATAAATGGAAGGTTGTGGAGGAATAAATGGAAGAAATTAGGAAAAGTACAACAAAATATTAGTGCATGAGAAGTGCCTACAAACTATACATTTTCATTTCTGCATGAAGCAGCTGTGTATTGCACGTACAGTTTTAGTAAATTTTTTGTGGACTTTGCATTTTCTAAATATAAAGGTAAATTTTTAATCTCAGCAAAATGGATTGGGTCCATGTCCCAATACAGAAATCATAAATATTCTTTGAGGCTGCACAATCATGTTCTTTCTTAATGAAATTCACAGCAAAGCTTTATAAAAAGTAGAGTTGTGCCATTCTGTTTTTTGCTACTGGTAATTAAAAAGGTGTCTGATTTGGTAAGGAAACTGGAAAATTGCCTAACGGAATGGTGCAGGCGCTTAACATTAAAGAAGATCTAACATTGTTAGGCAGAAGAGTATTAGTTTGAAAACAAATTAAAGGCATCCTAGATACTCCTACAGAGGTTTAATATTTTACCTAAAGTGCTATCTGCTCTTCATTACTCTCTTCCTCAAAGCTGGCACTTAGTCACAGTCAGCTGAAATTGCATTTGGAGAGGGGCGATAACTACACAAGTACTAAAGGCAGCCATAAAGTGTCAATAAATTGCATAAGCAAGAGGCTTCAGCTGTCTGCAGGTGACACAAAGATGGATTGTCCTACGTCAGAGAGTTTCTTAGACAAAGCTTTGAACTAGATAGGAAACCAAAATTAGACTGTAATGGAGAGATTCCATTCTCAGTGGGCATTCTGGTTGGGATACTAAATTAATTTACCTTGTCCAGGGTATACAGCCTCATCTGTTACATTCTAGGGCTATAATGCAGTTGTCAAGATGTACTTGTATTCTTATAACTTTGTTTTCTGTATCTAACTGGAGCATGCTGCTTATATACAAAGCATAATTCAAGCAGACTCAATAGTCTTTATCAAAGGAAGAGCAGAACACTGGCTCAAGAATAAAAAAGAAAACATGGAGGATCATGGCTTTTCCCCCTGACAAATGAAAATACTGGCAATTTTTAATTTAGTTCTCTGCATTAAATTCACCAGACACTAATGGCCTAATAGGAATGTGTAAGTAGCTTACTTGGCTTGTCTTTGTCCTTCTTAATCAGGCAGAAGTTAAATGATCTTTTTCCAGCCATAAGATATTTCTGTTTCTTCTCATGTTTTAGGAATGCCAACAGAATGTGAAATCCACTATACCTGTCTTGAAATGCCACAGTCAATTAAATGTGACAGGTCCTAACCGCCTATATCCCCGGAGCAGCTGCAGTAGCAGTGAACTCTCCCTTTCAAGTGCTTGCAGTGAATATTCCAGTGGTTCCTCCTACACTTGGAATGATGGGAAGACATACAGCAAAAGGGTAAATCAAATTAACTTGCTTCATTTATTAGCTTACGATGACTTTCAGAAATATTTTTTTTTCTTCTTTCTTTCACATTTAAAACACTTGTCAAAAAACTCAGTAGGAGTTCTCTCCCTTCTATCTCCCTTCTTTTCTCTCTCTTCCCTTTTAACTCTTTTTAACAATTCCCTTATCACTCCAATTCGCTCACAGTCTCATCATTTATTCTGACATTTATTCTGTTTTTCACAATCCAAATTGTTCTTCTCCTTCTTTATCTTAATCCTTCCATTCACATTTTTCTTCCTAAAGGTTTTAATTCCACTGTGGCCCTAAAGGTTTTAATTCCACTGTGGCCTTCACACCAGTATGAAGTCCTATATTAAAAAAGAAGATTGCTGTTAATAGCAATGAATAAAATAGAATGTACTATGTGCTCCTAAATTTCTTTAATAAAATTGTAACATTTCTTATTAAAAGCAATTGTGAATAATATGTGAGTTTTATTTTGTTTTTACAGTCATCCGTGAGCTGGGATAAAAGAATAAGCATTGGTTCTTCACTCCCAAGCAACCTTTCTAGTCCTGCAGATGATCTGCCTCCAACTCGTATCAAGGAAAACCATATCCTAGAAGGACTGAAGAAATTACAGAGGCAAAAAGTATTACTTGAATCACCTTCAGTAATATCGAAATGGGGTTACAAAGATTGCATGAACTCCAATGAAGGAATATATTCCCCTGGAGTTAAATGTGGCAGCCATCATGAGCAGACTCACTGTAAGCCAATGGAAATAGGAAGTATTTGCACTGAACATAACAAAACTTTCTCTTATGATTCAGATTCACATGATGATGCAGATGATGATTCTTCATCTTTATTATTGCTGCAGGAAGTACCAAGCAAAGACTGCAGGATCTATAGTAATAAATTAACTCACAGTGTTTCTGACAGTCTCTTTCACTGGGATCCTAATAGGAAACATTTTCCAGAAAGAAGTTCATATTTTAATTCAAAGGAAAGACCAGAAAAATTGACTAGTTTTGTCAGTGGATTTCAGGCGGAAGTAGAATCATGCACCAGAACAAAGCTGCCTGATTTACAGTTAGATCAAAGCCTTGCTAATATAGGCTGGAAGGACCTTAATTTTCAGCTTTCAGATACTGATGACAATGAAGTCTTGGATGAATTGCATATAGAAAGCAGTGATGAGAAAAGTCCATCAGATTTATTAGCAACTCCTTTTACTGAGAAGTACACAAAGAACTCTGACGAGCTCATAGTCACGGAGAATTCTCAGTTTGTACCTGGTGACAAAGAGGAAAGACAGACATCTGTTCACTCAGATATTGGGCCAAAGACATGTAATTTCATTAAACAACAAAAAGTCATAAAAAAGACTTCTTCTGAGGAGTGCATTACAGTAATATTTGATGCTGAGGATGGTGAGCCCATTGAATTCAGCTCACATCAAATTGGAGTTGTCACTGTAACACGAAATGAGATATCAATCAACCAACCAGAAAGTAGGTCCAGTGCAGAATATACTGAACTTATACCTCAGGGAATAGCTAATTTGCAGACAGGAGCAAATGCTAGAGACTACACTGTTCTGGAAGGACCTGAAGACAAAACTAAGAAACAGCCTCTCGAAGATAATACAGGGAATAAAAATACAGTTGTCTCCATGACCTGCAGTGAATCTTCACCGTGTGGAAGAGTAATACTGCAAAATGCCCCACAACAAAAAATAGTGAAGCCAGTGTATGATGTATCATACAAGACCAATTCAAGCCCCATTGTTCATGCAGGAATCAATCAAAAGCCAATCTTGACTAAAATACCCAGCAGAGGTAAATTTTCTCCACAAAAAAACAAGATGACAGAGAGTGAGGAGGCACCTGCAGCTACATCAGTGACCTCTGCAACCCTTGAAAAATCACCTGCTCTGCCACCTGTAAAGCTTTCAAGACTCAAAAAGGCACAAAGTCCACCTCGTAATTTTGATTCAAAAGTCAACTTCCAGATTCCAAAGCCCCCTGCCCACCCCCTGCCCAGCTCAAAGCGTCCGGGCAGAGGCAATGGGACAAAGTACCCAAAGAGTCAGAGTCCAGCATCACCACTGTTGCCTCAGCACCTTATAGAGCCTACTGACTGTGGAGAACCTCCAACTAGAGACTCTAATCATGATTTAGCAACTGTAGAAGCCAGGTCGCCATCCCCACCCCTTCCTCCAGGCAGGTCAACATCCCTATTGATTCGGCCTGATTATGCTCATTCACCACCTGTAGCTATGAAGTTAGGAGGAGCTATTTCAGGTGAAACAGCAAAAAATATACTGAAATCATCATCATTAAAAGGAACTGCAAACTCTGGCATCCATAATCAATCTGGTCGTGATATGCAAGCAAAAAGTGTATCTTCTGGGGCCAAAATTGAGTTATCGTACCTTCAAGAAAATTCTGAAGCGATTATGCAAAATAAATGTATATCTCAGCAATCCCGTAGTGCATGCCAAGGACTTTCCAAAGTTTTCACAAAGCAAGTCTGCCTAAAGAACACTAATCAGATGGGTCTCCACAGGAACCGTGAGTTTCTGAGCACAGATTTTCAGACAGGCAGGTCCAATCCTCTGGGTCCATCACTGGAAATAACTTCACAAGAAGCACGTTCCGGCAAGAAGGATATTTCCAGTGACAGTGGGGTTGATCAGCCACAAAAGATGCCAAACATTCTCCCAGCAACTCCTCAATGTCATACAACAAGTGCGAGTGAGCCCTTGCTATCTCAGGTAAATAATTCTCCATTGTCAACACTGTTTCATGGTAGTGACACTGCAAATGCCACACAAAACTCTAATGAGAAAGGAGTGAAAACCCGTCTTCCTGTAGGACTGAAATTATTTGTCAAATCTCCTCAACTTCTCCGAAAGAGCTCCACCGTCCCAGGGAAGCAGGAAAAAGATAGTATAAATGCAGCTTCCAAAAGCCACGTGAGTACAAGTAAGTACAAGCAAAATGAATGTGCAGCCACCAAATGTGCAATGGGTGCTGAATTAAAAGACTCTAAGTCTGATAATGAAATGAAAGATAATTTTACTGTGAGACTTAGTATGGATACTGCATCACCTCATTCACATGAAAATGACAGCTTGGTGGTAGACAGAGTGGATGAATTAGAAAGAAAATTAGTTAAGAGATCTTTTTCTTCTAGCAACAAGTCACACTTGAAACCAGCTCTGGGTATGAATGGAGCGAAAGCTCGAAGTCAGAGTTTCAGCATTCATACAGGAGAAAAGTCATCTGCCCTTGTGACAGAAGGTCTTGGAAAAGTACGGACTCAAATCATTACAAACACTTCTGACAGAGGAAATTCTCTAACAAGGCAGAACTCAGCCGTGGAAGGACTTCAAATCAAGGTCATTCCTGGGTCAGCAGCAACACAAGAGACTCTTTCAAATACTTCAGAAAACACAGAAAATTCTTACTCTAGACAAGGTTCTCTTGGAAATAATAGCAATAACCAGCATGGAAGCCCAAGCAAACTGCCATTCATATCATCTCCAAAAGTAGACTCATTTCGAAACACTTCAAAATATGATGGAAACAAATCATTTTCTGTGAAAGATGCACGCAGTCTATCTGTCCAGAGTGAGAAAAGCAGTGAAAATTTGAAACACGAAGCTCTAAATAAAAAAAGTGTTTTGCCAGCAGAATTGGAGTTAGATGCACCAGCTACTGTATCTTCCAAACAGATTTCATCATTTCATAGCTTGGGTGGAATAAAATGTCCACATAAGCTGGAAGCAATAAAATCACAGAGACAGCAGATGTCTTTAAAGTTAGTAGAAGCCTCTCATGTTACTGATGTTTTTAGTTCACCTGCTCTACAACCTACAATAGAGGAGAAGGTCATGTTGTGCATCCAAGAAAATGTCCAGAAGGGTCAGGAACAAAACAAATCTCCCACTGTAGAGACTAAACAAAAGACTGGGCCCTCTATAGCTAGTTGGTTTGGCTTTCGGAAGAGTAAGCTGCCAGCACTGAGCAGCAGGAAACCCGACGTTCCTAAAACAAAGGTAGAAAAAAAAGAACCAAGAGTTTCAGGATTTGGAATTAAGCAGTCAAAAATAGAGAGAAGAAAAGAAAAAAAGCAAACTGAACAACACTGTGAAGTGGAAAATGAAATTAACAGGAAAACGGACAGCGGGGACTTTTTAGATGATGCTGTGGAGTTTAAAATTTTGAAGCCATCACAAAGCACATCTGGCAAGATTGGATGTGAACAAATCAGAGGGTCCACCTCAGCTACATACTTACCAAAAGACAGTTTTATGAAAGAGCTTTTGAACAGGTATGGGATGTTTTGTTGTGCACTGTAAGTTTTAGAGCACTGTAAGTTTTAGAGCATCTTTAGACTCTAAGTTGAACATGTGTTGTCCTTAGACTAAGAATACACTGGAACAACCACTTTGTAAACTATCAGGACTTTAAGGTGATGGTAATTATGTTCATGTTATTTTGTTAACCAAACCAAAGGTCTTTGATATTATAGAACGGCAAATTACAGGTGATTCCAGAAATCCGGAATGTAGGCAGGTGATATGTTGAAATTAGAGGATACTTAGGTGCATATTTTAATGTCCTCCATTTTCATGTATTGCAACCAGCAAACATAAATTTGGGAATTAATCAGGATTAGTTACATTTCTGCCTACCATAACCTTTGGTCACAAGAAAACTTAGCAATTGCTATACTGTTTTCACATTTGCCCCCCAGCAGTCCTAAATATAAAATAAATCATTATATGTGCAAGACTAAATTGATATATTACCTGAAATTGCAAGTGACAGATTTGATCAAGGCTAGTTAGAAACATTTATCACTCAAAGGTCTAGAGACAGAAAGATACAGAGAGGTTACTTTAAACATTAAAGGAATGGAAAAGTGGAGTGATTGAAGAAGGGCAATGTAATTTATCAGAGGAATCACTCTCTACCTGCAGAGTTGATAAGAAAGCAGCTCAGCAGACAGAAAGTGGATCAAATAATGTTTCCTACAGGAGTGTGTCGAAGGGCAGCTCCCAGGGCTCCTCTCTTCACAGCAACTCTATCAGCTCTCAAGGAAACCACAAGAAAAACAGCAACACGAAAGCTGATATGGAAATGCAGAATCAGACCCTGGTAAGTGCTTTAGTCCATGAAAACATTATTACTGTCTTTTTAACTTCTGGATGTGCTCCTCCTTATTGCCAGTACAGATAAACAGGATAATAACTGTTTACATATGATTTTGTGTAGCTAGAGAACTGTGAATTAATACAAAAGTTGGCAGCTTGAGTATAGGCCAGATTACAGAGCTAGCTGTGAAGACCCTACTGCTTCTTCTGGGAATTCAATTTCAGTGGAGATACATGCACAGCAATGTTATAATCATACTGTGATACAGTGAAATAATGGGACCATTTTCCATTTTTCCATTTTTTCCCCTTTCTCTGAAAACTGCATGCCTGCCAGCATTGAACGTTACTCTGAGTGTTATAGGAAGCATTAAGCCTAACAAGTGCAACGCTCACAGGGAAAAGGTGAAGCTTTTGACCACATTTGGGAATATTCATCACTTAAGAGGGAATTTTCCAAAAGCAAAAGCTTATATTTGACCCATGGCTCTGTACCACAGCATATCTCCCTTTTAATGCCTCATAGCTAGTTTTATGTTTCAGGAAGGGTCTAACTACACCTGATTATTTAATTTACCCAGCAAGTAGGAATGGTGCAATTTAGAAGAAAAATCATTTTATTTTCTGGTAGCTGCTTAATGCTGGTACTTGAAAGGTTATGTGTGTGTCTGACTTTTCTGTACCTTGAAAAGTGTATACACACAGTCTAAGATTGTAGCCTGAAGTCAGACTGAATGGATGCCCTTCCTTGGGAAGCTTTTAGTAATAAACCATGGAATTTAGTGAGCAATTTCTTGCCTAGCAAGTGCCTTTCCAACAATGCATTAAAGTTCAAGCTCAAGGAGTACAGAGATGCTTTAACTTGATCTTATGTGATTTAACTTCTTGAGCATTGTTATCTCATTCCTGGTATCAGACCATATTATTGTGACAATTCTTACGAATAATCACTACTTTCACAAAATAATCTGAAAATTTATGCCAAATATATATCCTGAGCATGAATCTGAGGCTGTTATTTTTGTTGTTGTGATAAAGCCGAATTGTGGGAGTACAACACATGCAACTATTTCACTTGGGAGAATTTGGAATAAAAATTCTTTGGGACATGGTTCAAGGACAAAAGAAATTTCAAAGGGCTTCATAACAGGAAATGGAACAACTCTGCTGTTGTTTAGGATGCTTAAGGTTAAAGTATCAGCTTCAGGCAAGTGTTTTTTTATTTAATGCAAATGTCTTCCTTAAGAGTGTCCACAAGGTCATTCTGTAAAACTTATGGGGAACATGCACAGAATGAATGTTTTGGAAAACTTTTCCTTCCTGACTATTGTGGCATCATCTCTTCTTTGAAAATGTAGATGTCTCCTGCATTATAAAACCACAAATTATAAGCATATCTAAGGCTGTCCTTGTAGTGTCACTGAAAGGAAAGAGAGAGAATGAAAGTGTGGAAATGTGCAATATGCAGGAAATTCAATCCAACTGATCTAGAACTTTGATAGCAAAGCAGAGCCCCTTATCAGAACCACTCAGTTTAACTATGCCCCATTTAATATGGTCCTGACAGCTTAGGGTATATCTTCAATGTACAGAAGTATGAAAAACTCTGTACATTGCTTCTACAATTCCGTTCTTATTATTTTCTAATGCTGCAATTATTTGCTGTGCTTTTTGTCTATCAATTTGTGAAATCTTTCTAAATGCAGCAATAATAGTCCTAAATGAGACACTTCATTTTATTAGGGAACTACAAAGATTGTTCTTAATGTACATAAATAATGAAGAAATCCTCTTTATTCTGTTTAGCCTTAAAGGAACATAGTTGTGACATGGAAAAGGCATTACCTATGCTATACCGTTCACTCTTTTGTTCACTGAGAATGGAAGTATTTTTCATATTGTTTTTTGAGTTGAGTTACATTATGTGCTTCATCTTCGTGAGTTTCCTGTTTTGGTTTTGTGTCATTCAGTTTCTGAAAGAAATACCTCATGCTAAAAGGCTGAAAACATCTAGAATAAAGAGAATAAAAAGATGCTTACTGTTCTCACTGCTAACTTAGGGAAGAGATGCACCATAAGACTCCACAGTATGTGAGATTTCATCTCGCCCTCCAAGCTCATGCCAGGAAAACAATAGAGAGTCTGTAAATTCAAAGTGCACGCATCTTATTACAATCATTTTCAGTTATCCTTTGGTGTGTGCTACCTTTGAAGCAGATTGCAGAGGACTGGGAGATAGCTGTGACTGAAAACTGTCGCATGTGGCAGAATGGCTATTGTGCATTTTGTTGCTTGTAAAATCACAAAATGAATGCTTTTGGAGAAAACAACATGAATCTTTTGGAAAGTCCTAAACTAAGAGGACTTGTTTTTCTTCTTTGAACAAAGCAAAGTGCATTCAGTGCAGAAACTGCATATCATGTATGTACTACTTTAAATCTTGGCCATAACATTTTCAACATTAATTTTATACAGTAGTTTTTTGTGTTTTTTTTCCTTTAAAGCCCATTTTATTTTGACAATTAAATAAAGGTAAAGGCTTGCCATAACATACGCACCAGTTACCTCTGATTTCTGTTCATACAAGGAACACTATTGCTTGACTGCCACTGAATTTATGGAAAAAGCGATATTCCACCAATGGCAGCCATGTGCATTCACCTTCAAAGGGATACACTTCCCGTTAGTGTTCATCAGAAAAGCTCTTTGCTCTAAAGGCCAGCCAGCAGAAATACATAATCCTTTAGCTCACACCAAGGATATTCCACGTTCTCCGATACTTTTTCATGTCCTTGGCTGAAGCTTAAGGTGAGATACAATCATTTTTGTGCTGCGCTGCTTCATTTCATCTTTGTGATTTTATTACAGCCCAGTGTAATTTAGAGAAGCCCTGGGCTTTGCTTTGTGAAGTGGAAGTGTGGCACCAAAATCAAGACACCAGTTTTGGATAGCAGGGCCTGTCTGTAATTCAGTGTGTTTGGGGAACATCCAGAAATCTATCTAATATTCTGAAATGTCACATCAGTAGCAAGCCACAGACTGCCGTATGGTCTGCACATGTGAGAAATTGTTTTATTCATAATTTGATGTCAGATGAGTACATACTCTCCTCATTTTCCATAGCCTAAAGAGCCTCATTTCAGAAGAGATCAAATATCTGGGATTAAGAGATTATAAATGCACTTTATAAATAGAGAATTTTCTGTGTCTTACTGAGGCTAGTCACCAGGGGTCAATAGGGCTACTTCTGTAAGCCAGACAAGTATGGACAACGATCAAAGATATGCCATGCAAATTATAATAAATTCTACTGGTTTAGATTAGAGTATATATTTAATGTTACAAGGAATTTGGTGTAAGTGGAGTAAAACGGCAGGTAGTGATTAGCAAGCAATTTAAGATTTCTGAGATCTTGGCAATATTTTTTTCTGCAGCCCTGGCTTTCCTTTTCTCTGCAGCCTGCAGGTATCTTTATTGCTGTTTGATTTATAGACTACAGCAGAAAAATATGTCCCTGGATCTGAATTATGGCCACTGATGGAGTGTAATACAGGGGGCTTTCACTCTGTTGTATGAAGATACCTTATATATATGCTTTCTAAATAGGACTGCAGAGGAACAGACCAATCTAGGGGGTTTGAATATCATAGAATCTTTTGAATAGGAAGGGACCTTTAAAGGTTATCTGGTGCAACTCCCCTGCAATGAGCAGGGCCATGTACAGCTCAGTCAGGTTGCTCAGAGCCTGGTCCAGCCTGATCTCAAATGCCTCCAAGGCTTCCACCATCTCTCTGGACAACATGTGCCAGTGCCACACCACCCTTATTGCAAAAAAAACTTCTTCCCTTTATCCAGTCTAAATATCCCCTCTCTCTTAGTTTGAAAGCATTTCCCCTTGTCCTGCTGAACAGTTTGTCCCCTTCTTATAACCCCTCCCCCCGCTTTAGATATTGGAAGGCCACTATCAAGTCTCCCCAGGGCTTTCTCCTGTCTCAACAGCCCCAGCTCTGTCGCCTGTCCTTATAGGGAAGGTATTCCATCCCTTGGATCATTTGTGCATGTCTCTTCTGGATGCATTCTAACAGGTCCAAAGCTCTCCTGTGTTGAGAACGCCATATCTGGACATACTATTCCAGGTGAGGTCTCACCAGCACAGAGTAGAGGGGCAGGATCACTTCCCTCCACCTGATCACATACTTTAAGATTTAAAGAGTTTGACTTAAGAGCTCTTATTGTGCACTGCATTCTGAAATTCAAGTTACTTCTCTGTTCAGCAATTAAAATGCTTTTAAACAGATGTGGAAACAGAAATGCCAAAGTTAAATGATTGGAAATTGAATTACTGCGATTTTACATCACGTAAGTTTGCTTTTTTTTTTTTGAATAGAATCTCAAACATGGTATTTTTGTAGAAAAACAAGTACAAGATTGGCAGTCTTGAGTGTAATTCTTTATCAAGGGGGAAAAAAAAGAAAAAAAAAGAATTTTCTTTTAGAAGAATTTCGTTTTCCAAGGGTACTTTTTGACTGCTGCATGTTGTGACTTTTAATGGAGTTAAGTTGTTATCTTCTGATATTGTTAATAGAATGGGACAGGCTGTCTTCTGAAGTATATTAGTTACCCTGCATTGATACTTCGGTTTATTTCTGAAAATATATTCTGTAATTATCATGAAGCAACATAAACATAGTCACAGATGTTCCTCACTTTTGTACAGGCTAACGTAGTCACAGAAAACCTGCAAGAAGAAGAGGAGGATACCATGACAAGGACTACAAGTCAGAGTCATGTGATAGGTACAACATTATATTTTACACCGGATTTTATTGCTGTCTCAGTTCCAGGGGGGAAAAAGAAAAAAAGTGTAATTCTCATTATTCTATTTGTTTGCCCACATGATGTCAGTTTTAGCATTCATTTAGCTCTGGTTTTAGTAGTTGGATTTCACAACTGTGTAAAAGATGAGTATGTACATACTCATCTGTGGATCATTATCAACTGTGGATCAAAGCAGTGCTTTATAGAAGGACTCTAAGAGTCTGGCTGTGAAATACCATTTCAGTCTCCAAAACTAGTGGGTTACATACAGTGGTCTAACTCTAAGGTTGTTGTGCACGATGCTTTCAGTGTGAATAATACTGATGTACTGTAACCCTGCAGTCTATCCTTGAATGAGTAGAGTTCAGAATAAAGTTCCAAATAGCAGAATAATTACTGTGATAAACTGTCCCAGTATGAGTAGCAAACCAGGTGTCTGTTCAGCAGACCTTGAAGTTGTTATTGAAAATGAGCTGTCTTTGCTATGCGCTTTTTAGGAGGGTGGCACCATCAGCCCTTTTTCATGATTGACACACTCTAATTTTTAACGCAGGTGAACTCTCAGTGCTTCTTGAAATATCTAACAAGCAGTGGAGGACAAAGCAGAAATTTTTTTTTTAAGATCTGTGTTAGAGCAGTATGTCATCACTATAAGGTTCTGATACTGAATGAAAGAAAAATCTCCCTTAGCAAGTTCCCTTTGCAGGCAGACTGTAACTGTAGTTAAAATTTGATTCAGTGTTTTCAGGACAGTCAGTGATTGTGTTATCCAGAAGCTCGTTCTTTTCACTAATGCTGTCAACCCAGCAAGTTAGGCTGAACAAGAGGTACTGTGTTGAAACACATTTTACTTTGGGGTAACATTTACATGCCTTATTGACTTGTACAACCTTTTCAATCCTGATATCAACCAAATGAAATCTGTCGTCTTTGCAGCAGAGATCCCTAAAGTCTTTGAAACTGAACCATACCTTGGCTCTGTTGCAATAGCTAAATAGTAAGAACTTTGAATAATGCAGTATAAGACTATGATGGGATTCTGCAACTGGATAGGTGCAAGTCCTGAAAAGTGAAATGTTTGCTCCTTTCTTTCTGTTACCAGAGGTTGCCCAAACAAGAATCACCCAAAATTTTCCAAATTATTTTGCACTCAATCCTGAACCAAAAGTTCTAAAAACTTTTTCTTTGAATTGATGTGAAATATTTGGTTTTATTTTTTAAATCCAGTTTTACAGATCAAGAAAACGAAGCTGTTTGCACAGCTCTGTCCTGGAAAGACTCCAGTGCTTCCTTGGCATTTGTCTGTATAGTTGGTAGCTGTTACTAAGAGCTATTCACTATGTATTTTCATATATTAGTCAGGTGGGTCGTCATGTAATGTTTATATTTTCTCCATCCCTCATGCACCCAAACTGGGTCTCTGACACGACGTAGTCATGGATTGGGGTGGCTTCTGTTGTGCCTTGGGTTCATTCAGTTAGATGAGAGAGGTCATCACTGTGAACATAGCCCTCCTGTGCAGCAATGCACCTTCTTTCTTAGCCAAAAGATGTTTTCCTTTACCATTTCTCAGGGCTGGTGACATGGATAGAGTGATAAATAGGTCTGTGGCCCAGGTCTGTACAAGTCCACAGTTTGTGGCACTGCAGGAGCCAGGCAGTGCTGTCCTTGTGAAACGCATGTAGCTCAAATGAGGAGCTTTCCATCATCTGGATTACAAAATCAGCTTCTTTTACCTGGACAGTGCCATCTCTTAAAGGCTTAATGCAGGATACAACTTACCCCCGTTCTGCCTTTTTAAGACATCTGGATTAACTAAGAATTTGCTGTGAGGATCTGGTTATTAATGTCAAGAAACTCTGTTGATGAGAGTCATTATGTGCAATAGGTAGTATTGGCATAGTACAAATCATGCAAGTCTGAGCAAATTTGTTGGCACAAGCACACTGAGTCAAGTCGTTACTTCACCAGGACAAGGGCAAGGCAGGGAAATTGAAAGCATGGATCTAACTGCACTTCCCGAGTACTCCTAAATCAGCATCTTACTGTGTTTTATGCCCCTCTCATCAGGCTGTGTTTCATACTGCACTGAGTTTTGCTGCTGTATATCCACACTGCTCTTTATGGATAGCAAACTTTCCTGGGTCTGGTTCAGATTCTTTAACCAAAGTCCTTCCTAGACATTCTGGCATTTTTCTGGTACGAAGTTTTACACACACATTTGTTTGTTTGTTTGTTTTGTAAGGAGCATTACGTGAGATGAGAGAGAGACAAATTCAACTTCCTGTGTTACAAACTACGAGGGCTGCTCCAAAAGTAATGCCTCCTATTTTGTTGTTCTTTTTCATGGAGTAGTTTTACAGTATTTGAGATTCTTGTGGAATAGGGATCTTTAACATCTTGATAGTTGCAGTGGGCAGTAAATCAGTTCTTTACTGGTCTGAATTCCTCACCATCATAAACAGTCATTTTTAAAAAAAACAAGTTTTGGTTTTGTAGCTGCATTTTAATGACTTTGTTCTGCTGGTTTTGTTCTAAAATGTTAACTAAACGGAGCAGAATATATAGCAGATGTAGAAAGGCTATGATTAAGCAGGAGAGATATTCTTTGTTAAAGATAAGTACTGTTGTAGTTGTTAGTGTAAAATTCTTAAATTGATACCACTTTTGCCCAATTAGCTGATGAACAGGATGTGTGTAACTGAGTAGTCTTCAAAGATGGTATTGTGTAAGATATTGCTTATTCATCACTTCCTAATAGGGATACTCTGCATGAATTGCCAGTTGCTGGTTTTTAGTTTACTGTCATTTGGTGATCTAAACAAATTTACATACTTTGCTGACTCTTTGGCTTTGCTGCATTGAAAGAGTACAAGAATGTGTAGTAATATAAAATTTCTCATCTGGAATACCTGTATTTCAGGAAGACATCATTTCCACACGGAACAGTCAATTATATTGTTAAATTCTGCTTAAGCACATCTGTAGAATGTATATAAACTTTTAAAAACATAACTCTGTTTTTGTCAGTGAGGATGCCAAATGTGGCAGCTCTTCTCACAAACAAGAGATCTGAAAATCCAGGAGTATTTTATCCTCAGAGCTCTTTCTTCATGCCTTTTGCAATAAAGTAGTTTGGTTTTAAAAGTGTGTGAAGGGGCAAATGTTAAAGTACCTAATAAGAGAAAGGATGTGATAAAAAGGTTGACTTTCCCTTTATGTCATGACAGACTCCTTAGCTCAGACGGGTGCAGCAGGGTCTCAAGACATTCATATAAATAAAATTCCTTTATTGAATACAATGCTTGAACGTGTCAAGCTCCTGACAGTATTGCTCTAATGTAAACATTAAAAAGCCTTCGTTTCACAAAAGAAAAGAATTCTGTTTCTCCCCGTGGAATAGAATATTCAGTGTTTACATCCAGTCTTGAATTTTCCCATTCCCACTAGCCAAAAATATTCGAGAGAGTTACAAATGACACCTTTACACAGACAGGTTAACAATTGGACATCTTGGGAAGAAAAATGCATTAGTCAGAGTTTAATGTTTCACTCCTGTAAAAGTGTGATTCTATTCATTATAATGTATTAAGAGATTTCTTTGAAAAACAACTCCAAGAGAAAAAAAAAAAAACAAACAGAAAATCACAGCACAAGAAAACAAGTTATACTTATTGAAGAATTTGTTCCTATGGACAAATTAAAATGGAAATTCTATGGCATACAGTCACAGTTACACCAGAAATGTTATGTCTAAAATAAAGGCAACGTGGGATCATAGAATGGCTTAGGTTGGAAGGGACCTCAAAGCCCACCAGTGCCAACCCTCTGCCATGGGCTGGTTGACATCCACCAACTCAGGCTGCCCAGGGCCCCGTCCCACCTGGCCTTGAGCACCTCCAGGGATGGGGCACTCACAGCTTCACTGGTAACATGTTCCTATGCCTTACCATAGTCACAGTGAGGAGTTTCTTCCTTATGTGTAAACTAAACCTACCCTATATATTTATGTGTGTAAATATCTTTGTTAGCCATATAGGAGTTGTCAATTTATTCTCAGCAGTCTCTAAATCAATCAAATAAGGAATTTAGGTCTAAAGCACTGGAGCTCAGGGATGCGTAAGCATGACCAGTTCATCTAGAGGAATTGTTCTACTGAACTGGAAACTTTTGGCTTCAAAAATGTTATCTTTTGTATGCCACTGATTGAACTAAAGAGCCAATTTCATTCTTTAATGAAAGCCTGTTGAGCTTTGACATCAGGGAGAGCACTGGAGGTAGGTTTTGTCCTCTTGGTACTTGGAATGACTTTACTAGTAAAGATAAGTTGAAATGATGATAATTCTCAATAGATCTAGAGTTTGTGTTAGCATTGTGCGTACTATACTTGATAATGCAAGAAATAGAAGTAGTAATCCAAAATGTATCTGGCTGTTGTTGGTTCTGTCTGGTCCACTGTAAGTACAACTACACTCCCTACAGAAGTTGTATGGGGAGTTAATTCCCTGACAGGAGTTAGAATCCACAGTGGAAATATTTGCAGTCCTTGGAAAGAAATGATCCATCTGTGGCATTGACCCATACTGTTTATTTCAAGTATATCAGGTGAAATTCAGAGACAGGTAAATACTATGAAGATAAGTGTAGGCAGAATTTTTCAGACTGTGAAGAAAGACTTGAGTCTAATTTCTGTTAAATTTTCATTGGAGGTCCAGGTCACTTGCTTAAAATTGGTTTGTCCAGCATTAAAGGGGAACTTGTAGATATTGTCATTTTTACAATATAGAGAAAAAGCCTGCAGATTCTTCAAAAGGTTTTGGAAGGTCTCAAGATGGATGGAGGTTTGGGCGTCTGCATTACCAAAGCAACAGTAAAAGTGTGTTGTAGACTTTGCTACATTGTGGTAGAACAAAAACATGTACTGAGGTCAGGGAGTTCTTTTGTAGTTCTGCTGTAGCCCAGTGCTCAGTTCCATTAA